ATAGGTCCATATGATGAAGATTTCATCAATGTAGCGCAAGTAGAGTAGGGGCGTTAGCGGACGAGAGCTAAGGAAGCGTTGTTCTAAGTCAGCCATAAAAATGTTGGCATATTGTGGAATCACTGTTAGTACCTTCTTTAATATCTCTACAAAGTCCTCCACTGGCTGTAGACTCTATGAATTCCATATCTGAGCAGAGCCATAGGTGCTGTGTGAGAGGTCCAGTCAGGGAGCTGTATTTGTCCCCTACCCCTGAAATGTAGCTGCTTTGGGTGAGCTACAAGTACCCCAGGCAGAGACAGTCCCAGCTGACTAACTGGACCTACAATACATGGTGCACAGGAGGAAACTAGAAACCAGAAGGCAAAGAAAAAAGAACTTTTTTTTTTTTTTTTTTTTAAGATATGATTGGTTTAAAATCTCAATTTTTGAAAGCTTGGGGTTAGCAGTACTGGACACAGTGCATGGAACTGAGCTTAGAGGGGTTGGTTTTTTCCCTTAAACTTTCTTTCTCACATGAGGTATACATGATTCTGACACGTATCTCTCATGAGTAATTGTTGTGGTAACTCTCGGCAGCTGTCTAGTATACTCACTCCAGACATTTTTCCTTGTCACATCACGTCATGTCTAATTGGTGACCAAATCTGATTACTTGTGAGGGTATTCTGCACCAAAAATTTAAAAATTCCGTGCACGATATTTTAAAATGCTGCAAAATTCTGCGAATTTTATATCTCAAATAAATGTGGAGGCTCCAGCATGGCATTGGAGGGCACAGGCCACTGGCTGCACAGAGGTGGGAGATCACTGTGCAGCTTCCACACACACACACACACCGTTCCCCCCCCCCCACCGGGACACGGACTCGGCGATGAGGCTGCACCCAGCCCTGACACAACGCAAGGACCTGGCCTGTTCTAGAAGCACCCCAGGACCCTACCCCTCCGTGCCAGGTGCACCAGGTATGGGCAGGCAGGCTCAGAAAGGCAGGATCCCAGGGGGCTTAGTGTGGGGGGATACGGGTGTGGGTTGAGAGAGTTCTGTGTGGGGCAATCTGGGTCCGGGCAGCTCAGTGGGGGATCCGGGTGCGGGTGGGATCTGGATGCACAGGGGATTGTTGGTGGGTTCTGGCTGCAATGGGACTCTTGATCCCAGCAGAGACTTCTCTACCCCACCTCTAAACCATCTGGTTCTTTTATTCTGAAAGTCATCCTAGTTCTAGGGAATAGATCCT